TAGTTATCACATAGTTGGATGGTTTTCATTTTTGATTTGTGTTACTGATATTTATTATATGTCTAAAGATTGAATACATTTCATCATTTTAATTATTATACCTCCGGTTGCTAATAACTAGTTTATAAAGTTGTTTTCACGTTTATCTTAAAAGTTAATAATCATCTTAACTATTAAGTACTTTTATGTAATATACAAACTTCTCTAGAATAACTGAATTGTTAAATAATTTTAACTGATGGTGTTTAAAAATATTAATGCTGCTATTTTTCATTACTTAGCGCAGTACCTTGTTACTTAACAAGAGAAATAAGCATTTTAATGTAAACAAACAAGCTTTTATAATCTAAAAATGTACTTCAGCCAATCAATAAATTAAGATAACAAAATGCGATACCAAAACGAGCAATTAAGGCTATCATAAAAAATGGTTTGTAAGTGGCTTTGCGGATGGAAGAATGAAAATTTTCCATAATAAGAACAAACAGTTAGGCTTTTTTTATTTATAAAGAGAATGAAACTAGTTTTCTTCCTGTGTTTTAAAAATTTTAGGGTAAAAACAGAATTGGATGTAAATACATGGTATACATTTGCTGCATTTCTAATATTACTTCATAATAAAGTTACTACAAATAAGTAATTAACTCAAACAATGAATATATATAATACTGACCTTAGCAATTTGTAACAGAACAATGGAATGTTTAATGTTATGCAACATGCTCTGAAAAAGAAAATCTTTTTTAAATCGTTTCTACACTAAAATGTGTAAAAAAAATCGTACTTACATTAGCATGAGTTAATATTACTTCACATTTTGTTTTTTCTTCAGGATCATTCATACTGTTTATTTTTTCTTCTAATTTCTGCAATTAATACATTTTTATTTAGTAAAATATAAATAAAGAGAATTTTGACTAAAACATACTTTAGTTTGGTCAATCATAAGTTGAAGATATGCATCGGCTTCTGAAACTTTATTATCAAAGTCTTTGACTGTTGGAGGAGGCCTCATGGTATCCCATTTTGTCTGTAAATAAAAATTACATGATCATTTACATATTTTTAACTAAAAACAATCTAAATTGCTTACTCTGTGAGCATGCCTGTAGATTGTGTCCTCCAGTGCTCTAACCCATTTTTCACGTTCTTCAGCATCTCTAGCTTGGAAATGAAATGTTTTATGATCAACCGTAATTGTAAATGTACTATCATCTTCATCATCTATTCCAATAACAGCTCCTTTCAAACGTACACATCCTCTTCGGACACCTCTCATCATCTTCTCTTTTGACTATAGTAAATTTAATTGAATGAAAAGCTTACATAAAATCATATTACAGGTGTTTGTAAATATTAGCACATACTTATTACATGCTGCTAGCACTATATTTAGTACAATCATGTATATAATTATAAAACTGAGAAGCATTTACTAGTTTCATAATTAAACTTATTGTGGAGATATTTGCAATGCCTGAGTGCATATAAAAAGTGTTTTTCAACAAAACACGGTAAATAACATTAGTGAAATGACATCACTTTTGTATTTTTAGTATTATGAACGTGAAATAGGTATAAGCGAATTCTCATTTAACTTGTTTTTATTTAATTAGAATGTATAGATATTTGTTGGGGAGCAAAAGGTGAAATTAAGGGTTTGTAAAATAAAATTCTAATCTTCTACGCCCAGAATAAAATTAGCGCCTTTTCCTGTTCAAATTTGAAGATAATTCTATTCAAATACATACTGTGTAATAGGAGAGAATCCCGGAACTTTCGTCTAGCACAAACCAACGATACTGCCATCCTTTCATAACATTTGTCCACTTGCTTAAAGACCCTTCCATTACGGTCATTTTAACTAACTTACACAAGCATTATCACGAAAAATTTAATTATTTCATGATATCATCACAACTTCTTTGACATTAAAATTATAGGTTATGCGATATACCTATGCGTCAACTTTGTGAAGAATGCGCACGCATATTTATTAACTGCAAATTAATTATATTGCAGTTGTTAGCATGCAGAGCTTTAATGTGGGTTGCATAATCTATTGCTCTGACTGTTAAATTAATATACGGGGTGTTCGTTTATAATCTATACGTATCCTAATGCTTAAATGCTTTCGCGAGAAAAATTGGGGTAAAATAGAACACTAACATTTAAAATATTTTGTTTTAATAGATATTGCTGTTTATTTTACTTACGTATATAAAAACTAATACTTGAAAAAGTACTTCTCTTATTGTATGAATGTATAATGCATACCCAACTTTTCTTTAGCTCTGTAGGTATCTGCAATTATTTTATTAAGACTCACTGAATGGCTTTTGAGTTTACAAAAAGTTAATTTTAAAAATAAAATATGTTTTGTCAATGTAACTTTTTTGTGTTTTATATTTTGGGGATAAGTCAAATGCCAATATTATGTGGTAGGTTTGTGGTAATTTTAAATTTCAGCTGCTGAAGTAGTTAATCCACGCATACCCTGGTACGGCTTTATTTTAAATTCATTACGGATTTTCAAATAAGAACTTCTACAAAATACATTATAAAACCAAAAAAAAAAATTTGTTCTTTATTTATTTATTAAAGTATAAAATATTACTGTACAAGTCGAACAAGTGTTCGTAGATTTACTTAAGAAAGTCATTTAGTGATGCTTTCTTTTACACTAGATAAATTAATAATTTAGATTCCATATTAATATTTATGTTGGCGATGGCAATTTATTCGAACCAGTCTTACTGTATCCGGAACTTACAATAACTTGATTTTCCAAGTTATCACTGGCAGCGGCTGCCAAATCTTCCGGTCTAACTTTCAAACCGGAGATATCAACAAATTGCTCCAATTGTTCAGAAGCTTCGACTTCGTATTCGTCTTCGTCTTTTTCTTCCATTGGATCAATGATAGGGATCCTACTTTCAACTAGTTGTGAAGAAGCGTCACTGAGATCATATTGGAAATCTTCATCGGTAAAGGCGACCAAATCTCTCCTGTCAATATCAGGATATGGAACCCTCGTTTCTACTATATTGGAGGGTGCAATAGCTTCCAAATTGTCACTAGTATTTGCTTCAGCTGCCTCAACGAAAGCTGATGATAGTTCTCCACTCAATTTACTAACCGTTTTTGTGTTTAAATCGTACATGAAAATTTCTTTTTCATCTTCTTCTTTGGCTTCCTCAGGTCTGAAATTGAAGACGCACATAATAGATATTAGAAGTAAATTTGATTATTAAATTTCCTCTTGTCAAAGGTGTTTTAATAAGAAAAGTAGCATATATACGGATAACAGAGGTCACAGAGTTTTAATGAAAAAATATTTTGTTACTACGACAAAAACTTACTTGGTCACAAGGAGCACTACTGATTGTTTATCGACTGCTGTTGTATTCTCAATTTCGAGCCATTTTTGGAAATTTTCGGTTGTAGGATTCTTGATTAGTTCTTTCAGTGCTTGGCCAGCAAGAAGTCTCTCTGTTGATATAATTTCTCTCACTGGTCGACCTTTATTACCAGTATATTCAACGGGCGCTAAAACAACTACACTCGTTATATTTTTGCCTTTCAATTCGGGAACATCCGGTATTGGAAATTGAGCGCCATTGACTTTAATGGGTAAATATCTTGTGTATTTTTCACTATCCAACTGAACAGCTTCTACTTGAGAAGCACCTTCTTTTATATAAGTTTCACCAATTTTCTTTTCGTCTACACTATCTTTTTCGTATTGGACAACTTTTACTTCTGGAGCAATAACTTTTACCTCTGCTGGGTCAGATCCCTCAGGTTCTTGATCTGGTGTGGCAAGATCATCTAGAGGTTCACCATTCTTCCTGATAATCGAAGGAACAGGCTCACTGCCTGCTGAAATTGCTTCCTTACCTCCAGCACCGAAGAATTGCGACAATTGTTCTGGTGGCAGAGCCGACAGTGGTATGTCACCGACCTTGTCATAATCTAAAACTGATATTTGAGCATTTTCCAAAATACCAGATGACAAAAGTTGCTGTCGTAGGTCGTCAGGTACTTCATCAGGAAGTTCCAGGATATTCTTCTTAGCTTTTTCTTCTTTCTCGGGATTTTTGGTAGTTGTAGTTGGTGCAGTTGTTGTACTTTGATATGTTGTCCTTCCAGTTGTGGTTGAGTAGACTGAAGAAAATCGGTGAGGAGCAGTGGTAACAGATTGTTGTTGTTGTTGTTGCTGATTTTTCTGTAAATAATTTGAATTGGCAATACTAATGGAATTTCCTCGCTCTTCAGATGGTTTTATTTCGATATTGTATTGGTTTTGTTGTTGAGTGTTTTTGGTATTTAATTGTTGGGGGTACTGTTGATACTGTTGCTGTTGACCAAGGGTTCGGTCTGATGGATTGACTTGTGTGAAATATTGCTGTTGGATTTGTTGTTGATGGTGTTGCTGCTGCTGCTGCTGCCGTTGTTGATTTTGTTGTGATTGGTGCGGCTGTTGTTGTTGTTGCTGTTGTAGTTGATGCTGGTGCTGCTGTTGAAGTTGGTGCTGCTGCTGCTGTTGAAGTTGGTGCTGGTGCTGCTGTTGAAGTTGATGTTGCTGTTGCTGTGGTTGATGTTGTTGAGAATTTAATTGATAATTAGTTTGTTGCTCTTTAGTCTCAGATGGCAACGTTATATGTTGTTCATACTTTGAAACAGATGGAATCAGTTCACCACCAGGAGGAAGGACATTTTCTTCTTGGTGTTGTTGAGGGTGTTGCTGTTGTTGATGTTGAGGTTGTGTAGGAATAGAGTTAAAGTTGTTTAAGCGTTGTGAACTTGGTAGAAGTTGATGTTGAGGTAGTCGTGGTAACTGGTTGTGGAAGGGCAGATTTTGGTTATGGTCATTACGGAATTGTTGTTGAAAACCTTGTTGTGGAATGCTTTGTTGTTGAGTAAACTGCTGATGTTGTGTGAACTGTTCTTTGTTCGCATTTTCTCCAAAGGAACCTACAAACGCTTGAGCCTGGGGTTGATGTGAGGAATCAAGGAATGGTTTTGGTTGTTCTGGAGATTGATGCTGTTGCTGAGGGTTAAACTGGAGTTGTTTTTGTAACTGAGGGATTTGTTGTTGTTCGGGCAATTGAGAATACTGTTTCTGTGGTACTTGTTGCTGAGGAGTGTGGAATATGTGATGTTTTTGAACTTGGGGTAGGTGTTGCTGTTCTGGGAAGTGGGTTAAAAAGTTTGAAAAACTTTGAGGAGGTAGGTTAGGGTTTTGCTCGAAATTGCTTGGTCTCTGCTGCTGCGGGGGCGTGAACGAAGTTGATGGTTGTAGATTTATTGTGTCTGAGGGGACGTAATTGTCAAATGGTTTATAAGCAACTGGCTGTCTGAAAGGCACGTGCTGGTGGGATGGTAACTGTTGTTGAGATGAAGGAGCAGGAGGTCTGTCAAGAGAAAGAGAAGGAGGATGAAAGTTGGGTCGATTTGGTAGGGGTGGGAATTGGCTGGCAGGGAAAGGTGGCGGCTTAAAAGAGGGTGGTTGATTAAAAGGTCTAAAGGATGGAGGAGGTGGAGGAGGTGCAAAGCGCTGGCTTTCTGGTCGAAATTGTGGGGGTGGTCTACTGATAATTTTTGGAGGAAAGCTTGATGGTGAACGGCCTTGTGGAGGCGGTGGAGGAAATATGAATTTTCTACTTTGGGGCTGCGATATGACTGGTTCAGGAGCAGATTCTTCTTTCGAATCGTCATCGCTGGTGCTAGTTCTTTTGTACTGATTATTACTTGGTTTTTCAAATCTCACATGAATATGTTTGTTTCCTGAATAATCGGATTCTGGTTTAATAATTGCTCGTAATGTTGTGCTTGGCGTTTGGGGTGGAGGTGTAACTGGTGGTGCATAAATTGGTTCTTGAGGCGGTTCTTCTTGTTGTGGTTCTTCGTCTTCCACCGGTGGAGATATTGCTGGAATAGGTTTTTCGTATATAATACTATCTTTTCCGTATCCGTTAGGATTTTTTTTGTATTTCACGTAAAATACATGAACAGGTTCTTTCCTTTTAGGAGCCGGAGTTACAATAACCGGTGCCGGTGGTGGCGGAAGGGTGACATTAGATTCTTTGATAATGATTTCAATAATCGGCTCAGGTTCTTTGATATAGATAGGTTTTTCGATTATTTTTGGTGGAGGAGGTGGTGGATGACCGTAGGTTTGAGGATGGATATGCTGGTAATCGCTGGCCAGATCGTTTCCTGGGCTGATAGGCAAATTACCAGCATCGTACAAGGGATCTCTTTGGGAATAGTGAACAAGAGGTTCCATTTGGACGGCATATGGCGGAGGAGAGGGCGCAGGTCTTCCTCTTCTAAAGGTGATATAATGCTTATGGGCTGGAAAGTAGTTTGTTCGATGACCCGAACTTATCCTTCTTTCTGTGCGGTATCCATAGACAGGGTTAGGGTGAGCAATAGAATATTCTAAGTTCCGTTTTCCTCTAAGTTCTGTCGATGTTTTCTTTTTGGTTTTGATTTCTGAACTTGTTGAGAGTGCTGTTGCTAAACAGCAAATCAACGCCTGAAAAAAGAAAGAGAAGGCATGAGATATTCTTCAAAAAATAATTATAAACAATATAATAGTCCAATGTAAATGCAATTGTTAATTGACAGTTAGAAGGAATCACACGTTAGGAAATTAATGGTATGTGTATTCTATTAACATATTCCTTTCATGGAGATTTATGTATCTAGAAGGTTAATGAATAATAAAAACCATTTTGCAATTGAAAGAATTTAAATTATATTCTGGCAAATCATGAAATCGGTACATTTATTATATGTAAATATTATATTCCTCGGTAATATCAAGTTTGTACAAACTGTGCATGCTTAACATTTATCTTATTTGCAGTCACGTTAGTAAATAAAAAAATTACGGAGTAGGTTTTTTGCATCTCTGTCAGAGAAATTGTACTGTTTTGGTGATTAAATAGGTATATGAAATACTACGTACAATATTAGAAAATGTTGCCATTTTTCTTTGTTTTAACGACAAAACGCCACAAAAAGTAAAACAAAACTTAACCTTTGCACTTGACAATTGATGACCGAACTTTGAACCAGTATCGACAAGCCGATACTTGGCAGACCGGTATTGGACCAAACATGACGCAACTGTAATGTACCTTGCCTTGGCACGTGAAGATTTATCGAATTTTGGACCAGTATTGGTAAACCAATGATTGACTGCCCCAGTATTGGACCAAACTTGGCGAAACGTTAATAAACCTAGTCTTGATCCTTAACAATTAACCGAACTTTGGACCAGTATTGGAGACCAATGCTTGGCTGCCCGAGTATTCGAGCAAACTTGACGAAATGTTATTATACCAAGCTTTGGACCAGTTTTGTTAAATCTATATTTGGCTGCCCAGTATTGGACCAAACTTGGCAAAATAATATTAATAAATCTAGCCTTGACACTTGCAATTGACCGAAGTTTGGATTAGTATCGACAAGTCAATGATTGACTGCCCCAGTATTGGACCAAACTTGGCGAAACGTTAATAAACCTAGTCTTGGCCCTTGACAATTAACCGAACTTTGGACCAGTATTGGCAGACCAATGCTTGGCTGTCCATGTATTCGAGCAAACTTGACGAAATGTTATTATACCAAGCTTCGGTATTTGAAGATTGACCAAGCTTTGGACCAGTTTTGTTAAATCTGTATTTGGCTGCCCAGTATTGCACCAAACTTGGCAAAATAATATTAATAAATCTAGCCTTGACACTTGCAATTGACCGAACTTTGGATTAGTATCGACAAGCCAATGATTGGCTGCCTCAGTATTGGACCAAACTTGGTGAAACGTTAATGTGCCTAGCCTTGGCATTTGAAGATTGGTCGAACTTTGGACCAACACTGACAAGGCGATACTTGGTTTCTCACTATTGGTCCAGGTTTGGGCCTGTGGTCGACTGGCATTTTCCTACATAATTAATTAATTGAATGCCTAGATTTTTAATAAGAAACCTTTTTTTTATTACTCTCATCATCATAAAGTCGTCAGTCCTAAGACTGGTTGGACACGTACCTCCACTTTTTCCTATCCTGAGCTAAACTTCGCATTTCCCTAAAAGTAGAACAGCCCACATCCGTAACTATTTGCGAACAGTAATCTAAAGTAGGTCTACCTCTACCCCTTCTAACTCCTGTTTCTGCCTCTAATATGTCTCTGACTAGACCTTCATGCCTAAGAAGGTGTCCTACGGCAGAAATATTATTGTTTAGGTATATATCGGCCCACGCATTTGACCTAACAAGAAACATTTTTTGAATTCACCGGGATAATAATCGTTTTAAATGTATGAGATAGTCTGGCGTACAAACATAGTTTTCAATACTAAAAGTTTCACTGTTGGAATGCGTCATTTTGTCAAACGTGAGCGAGCTAGAACTTTTCTTTAGTCAGACGATTGTTATTCTAGTTGGTTAATAAAGAAAGTGCAAATAAACAATGTTATCATCACTGCGGTCGCTAATTGAGTTTAGCTGGGTTTAGCTAATTGGGTTCTTTAGTAAAAAAAAAAAATCTTTTCAGTGCAGCTTATTACATACAATATTGTATGTTCATTCTCATGTGTAGAAGTAGATTTGTTTATCGTGCACCTCTTCTAGAGAAACAGGTTCCCCAGACAGGTATAGGACAACATTTCTGAATGCTCACTGGGTCACGGTCCTGACCCTAAAGGACGTTATACGTATTAAATACTTTCCATGCCATCTCGAGATTAACTAGGTGAAGATGAGGAACAATGCTTCCTTTTAAATAAATAAATTGTGGCGGAAAAATGTATATTTTTTGTAAATATTTAATATTATTTGTTAAGCTTTTTTTAAAATTCTTTGGCTACTTTATAGTTTGTTAGAGTTTTTGGAGGACTTAATAACAAAGAAATAAACACTAAATAACAAACTAACAATACAGCAATATATTTACAAATTTAACAGGGAAAGATGATCGGCGATAAAACTGATGAAATGTAGTAAGCAGTACCAGAACGTAGGAAGACTGTCATGGGCGTCCCCGGGGGGGTGCAGGGGAGGGCAGCTGCTCCCTCCTAGAAATCTAGCAGAAAATGTATGAACTCGCCTAATCACTAATCAAAGTGTAAACGGGGCCTTATATGCTCACTTTTGAATAAAATAGTAGAAGTCGAATTAAACAATTAAAATAAAATAAAAATGCAT